TTGCCATCCTTAGTTTAAATGATTTTAAATATTTAAAGCTGCTTTTACAATCTGATAAAAGAATTAGATCTAACTGAATAAATGATTTCCTTTTCTCTAAAATACAAGGACCATTTTGATTGCTTACTGCTTTCAGTGAAATGTGTGCTGCCATCTACTGCCAAGAAACTGGAATTGTTTCTGCATTTATTGCGAGGTTCTTTTTTGTTGTATTCATCATAGTTTTTTTGCTATAGCATTCTGAAATCCCGGAGGGAATTATTAATAACCAGATATATATATGCACACACACAGACATATGTATATAATTACATGTTTCCTGTTGGAATGTATTGTATAACATTTCAGTGTGCCATTAACTTATTTATATTTCTGGCCTAATTACAGTAAACTGGAAATCTTTTGTAATTATCTTTTTCTTCATAGTTTCTAAATCTGGCTAATTGAGGCACATGTATACTTAGAGTAATATTTAGTTCATGCTAAATTGTACCAATGTGTTGAATATTAAAATGTTTAACTATTCCCACATGTGTTCATCAAATGATTGGAGTCCTAATATGCAAGATAACATTGACAAGAAATATAGAAATGAGGGAAAAAAAAAGGAATATGCTTTTCTTTATGAGTTTAAATGTAGCAGAAGTAGCCAAGAGCATTAGTAGAAAGTGTTTGAAACTAACACAGTGGTGAATTCAGCAATATGATCCTTGAAATTCAGAAGCACAGACCTTTAGCAGCAACCATTGACAATGATGAACAATGACTACTGTTGGTTCTGATAAATGAATGTTTAGGTAATAGAGGCTGTTTCTGTTTCCATCAAACAGAATGACTGATGGTTCAACAGAATCAAGCAGTATGACAGACTACTAATGGTTCTGATAAATGAATGTTTTAGATAATGGAGGCTGTTTCTAATTCTTTTTATGTCTGCATCAAACAGAATGAAACAGATGACAGAACATGTCACAATGATTTCAAGTATCTTATTTAGAAAAGGTAGATTTAATTTTATATTTGCTATTTCAGCATTTTCTCTTCCATGCCTTATTACTATGATAACTATTTTAGTTATAAGAATATTTATTTTAATTCCTTTTGTCGACTTGGGGTAGTTTTGTCAGTGCACACAGCAGTTGTAATAAAGCTTTTTATACTACTTTATGGGTACACAAGAAGTATCTAAAATGTATAAGAAGTAGTGGAATTTTTCATTGCATATATGCAGTGTGTGTTCAAAAACGTATGTATGCACAGAGTGATCATAAAGTCAGTTTTTCTTAAAATGTGGTTTATTTACAAATTTTAAATTGGCTATATGGCATTGATGCCTAGTTTTTAAGTGTACTTTCATCACTCCAAACATTCTTTCTTGGAAACTGTATTCTTAGCATACATCTTGTCAAGTAGCATTTTGCAGTCTGAATTATATTGACTGAGAGTGTGGATTATTCTTGAGATAATTTTTCTGATGATGGTGCTTCAAAATGTGATAGACATGAGGTTTTGAAATTATTAAATTGTAGTCCACTTCCCTCTCATATTTAAGTCAGTTGTTACAATATGTTTACATCAAACGTTCTTGTTATTTGGGGTTTGATGATGTCTGTTATCTTCCAGAACATTTCTGGGGACATTCTGAATGTATGTATTTAATTTCTGCATTATTTACATGTTGGCTTTGTGTTGCTTAACTCTGAATTTATTACTGCATTTTTAGAGAATTTCAGTGATTATTGTAAATTAGCAATTTTTATTCATTTATCATTCATCATAATAATCTGATTATTTATGCTGTCATTTGAAATGCATTTTATTAGTGCATAGTTCCTCATTTATCACCTGTGACCTATTTTGATCAGTTAAGAGGTTTTTGTATATCCTTATTGGAATGAATAGGTAACTTTTGAAAAATTTATGTGCATTAATTATAAACTTTGCAGGTTTATTAAAAGTAAGCAAATTTCTAAAATAAATTGAGTGCATGTAATAAAAACAATTTTTGTTACTGTTTGGTTAATAGGAGGCTAATGACACTTGACACCAAACATAATTGTTTGCACAAAGTCTAACTAGAGATAGAAATAGCAACCTTAATACAGTTTCATGATATGAATAGCTGTTTCATTTAATCTGAAATATATATTTAAAACAAAAAAATACAGAAATTCAAAAATTAGAATGCTTGTAATTATAATATAAGTAAGGCATATTAGATGCATTTAATTAAATTATTAATTGAAATTGTAGTAAGCTCACCTAAAAGTTACCAGGAGCTGTTGCTCCAAAAAGTTCAACACGTTTAAAAAATATATATATATATACATTTAATACAATAATTACCGTAATTTTGCACGTATAGTCCGCACCATCGTATAGCCCGCAGACACGATTTTATATAAAAAAAAATTTAAAAATTGTCAGATAGTCCACACCACCGGATAGTCTGCGGACTATACGTCCGAAATTACGTTTTTTTAATACGGCAATATTCCCATGCTTTTTAAACACATCCTTTTGTTTGCGCAAATTTCTCACCGCTTTCTTGTCCACTTTAAAATAACGGAGTAAAATCCTAGTATACGGTGCAGCCTTGGCGCGACTTTGAAAATTATCGCCAACACCAAAAATGATCCAAAGAACGTCTATATATATACACCATGCGTGTATAGTATATATACTATATACATAGTATATACTATGTTTATATATTTTCTTTGAATGACCCATTAACTACTCATCGTATATGTCCCGTTTTTACTGCTCATCATAAAGTCGCCAAAAGTAGTCAAATCCCGTGTGCACCGGATACTAGGATTAAACCAATAACGGCCCGCTCTCTATTTCCATCTTTTTCAGCTTTCTCAACTAACTTGAGTTTAACTCAACAGTAAAACTCCGGCGGATGTTTCATCAACGTTATCGAAGATAAAAGACAAAATACGAAAACAAAATAAAATACTGTGCAACGTTCTATCCTCGTGATAAGTGGTAATGAAATTTGACCTTCGAACTCCCACTCACTCAGTGTTGCATCAAACCACGTTATGAAGTAAACGAATCACGCTTTTTTTTTCGTGCTCCAGGTAATTGCTACTATGGCTCCTTAAAAACTGAACTGACAAATCAACTACTTTTCCCCCTCCCGGCAGTTGTGCTAAAGCAGTGCGAAGGATACTTGGAATCTCACACTTTTTTTATACTTGATCATCGGCAGTTCACGACAGCGCGTTTTTTAAATTTCAACAATTTTAACCGTGAACAACCAGCGTATTATCCGCACTGGTGGATAGTTCGCAGCTTCAAAAATTCGCATTTTAAACACAGATAGTCCGTGGACTATACGCTAGAAATTACGGTAATTATATGCATTAAATTATTATTACATATATGAACTGATTATATTATACTGTTCATTTACATTAGGCTCCTCTATTTTTAAATCAGCATGAATCTGCTTCCCCTTTTCTCTCAGGAGTACAGGTTAGGCTTGGCGTGTGCCTGAAATAGGTACCCCCATCACTCTGCCACTGCCGGAACCACTCGTATAAGACAGCATCGAAGTTTGCCGATTTCGCCTCATGTAAAGATTTCCGGTTTCGGATTCCGATGTTAGAATCACTGTTGCTGTAAAATTTCAACAGCTTTTCTTTATTGTTCCGTATATCAAACACAGTCCCTGTTGCAACTCCATACGATTCTGCTATAAACCGAGCAGGAGCACCTGCCTCCATCTTTAGCAGAATTTCCACTTCTTTCATTACCATCAATGCAACGCGTTTATGTTTTTCAACATTGCAAGCAGTAAAATCACAAGTGCCTTTCTTATCTGTCACTGTATTAAAAAGCACTGAAATTTAAAATATTCGTAATATATATCCACAAAATATCTGGATAAAAAAAAACGACATTACTAAACAATCTCGTGAAATAACAAAGCTAAGAAAGTACAACAACATGAAGCGTGAACTTGAAAGAAGAGTTGAGTTAATCGTCTGCTTTTTTACCCTCAATGCAGATTGGAGTGGGAAAAACTATTATCATGATGTCAAAAATTTGGTATTTCCATTATGACTCATTATTATTCGGTAATTATGACGTCATTTATCCAGTAAATATTTTTTCTTCGATATTTCGTACTCCATGTTGTGGTTTCCGGAACCTATAAACTAAATGCTTATATTTTAAGAGGCAACACGGATTTCAGGTCAGCGGATTTTCGGTATTTGACTGTATTTCAATTGGCAGCTGTACAATGATACATTTCTAGTTGGAGCTGACAGATTTCTCCTGATATAGGCTGTTAACACCAGATGTAAATAAACAGAATATCAATCAAAAAAGCATTCATGAACCCTTAAACCACCATCTGCTTTGTTAACCTTTCTTCTGCACCACATTTCTTCAACCCCATTTCAGAGCTTTGGTAATTGTAAAATATAATTTCACTTAAAGGGTTTCTGATCAGTTTCTTAGTATGAAATCATAGTTTGTTCTTGGGTGAATTTAACTGGAACTCTTTATTGCTCTGTAATTTATATTGATTCTTTAAAGAAAAGTGAGTGCTCTACAAAAAAAAAAAAAAAAAATGCAACTGAAAATGCCTAAGGGAAATTCACAGGATTTATAGTCGTACTTCTTGCTTGCTTATTTCTAACGTAACCGTTTAGTAATATGTAATCACATTTGGCAATTTGATGCACAAAAACGACTGTTGCCTCATTCATTAGCCAAAAAAGTATTCAGTTTAAAAGGAAAAAAGCTGTGTGTGTCCCTTTACGATGTAAAAGCATTTGGGCAGTATGATTTGTGTAGATAAAATTTCCATTTATAAGATTATTCATTTAAAAAGAAAGGGAATTATTTTACAATCATAGGGTGTTGTAATCCCTAGTTAAAGAACTTCTGTTCATTAGCATTAGCTTTAACTGTCTAAAATGTTAAATATTTCAAATATCAAATTTGGAAACAATATTGTTATTTTTCATATCTTTCAGATGGAGAAAACACTAAACATGGTTCAAAGAGCTTTTAATTTATCTGAGAGTGAAAATGAGTATGACAGCTTCAAGCCTGTTAAACAACCTATGGTGGATTCAGAGTTTCATGTGTATTTAGATTCTGAAGGACGTTTAATTAAACCTAGAGAATTAAGACTGTCTGTATATAATAGAGGAATTGATCCTGCTTTACGTAAAGTTGTGTGGAAGCACATTCTTAATGTTTATCCTCAAGGCCTTACAGCAAAGGAAAGAATAGCTTATATGAAACAGCGTTCAGCAGAGTATCAGAAGTTAAAGCAAACATGGCAAGATATGATTTCAAATGGGAATTTAACAGAAGAAATTCAATATGTTACTAATATGGTTCGAAAAGATGTTCTGCGGACAGATCGCACCCATAAGTTTTATGCAGGCTCAGATGATAACAAAAATGTTGTTTCACTTTTTAACATCCTTACAACGTACGCCTTAAATCATCCTAGTGTGTCATATTGTCAAGGTATGAGCGATTTAGCATCTCCCATTTTAGTGACAATGAAAGATGAAGCCCATGCATATGTGTGCTTCTGTGCATTAATGCAGAGACTGAAGCCTAATTTTCATTTAGATGGTAAAGCTATGACTTCAAATTTTCAGCAACTAACTGAACTTCTTGAGCATTATGATTCTCAGTTTTTTGAGTACCTTAAAACCCAAGGGGCTGATGATCTTCTCTTTTGCTATCGTTGGCTTTTACTCGAATTGAAGAGGGAGTTTGCTTTTGATGATGCTCTGTCCATGTTAGAAGTACTTTGGAGTTCTATTCCTCCATCTCCACCAGAAAAAGAATTAGCCTTGTATGAAGAATTGTTCTCAGAAAATTCCTTTCGCCCTCATTCCCCTCGAATTCATAGTAGAGAAAATCCATACACTAAAGTTCGTGCTATTAGAAAACAAAATTCTGCATCATCAATTAGAGGTCTGATGAAAAGTGGTAGCAAAGAAAATGAAGAAGTAGAATCTGACAAAAAAACAGAATCTCAAGCTGAACCATCTATTAATACAGAAAATTCTGTGGATACCTCATGCAGAGAACATTCAATGTCCCTAAGCCGCCGTAACAGTGTTTCAGAAATCAACACAGATGATTCACAAGACTATTTTCCAATGACAACATCAATGACTAGAGAACTCAGAATGGAGTTGGAAAATTTAAATAGACAATTACCTGGCTCTTTTTTGCAAAGGTCAATTACAATTGATTCTGAAGATTTAGATTCTCCTCGTTCACCAGATTGTTGTGAATCCGCAAGAGAAAGTCTGAGGTATTGTCAGCATTTGCAGGGCATTGAACAGGCAGCTGAAGATGACGCACCTGAAAGTTGGACTAGTGATGATTTATCATGTATGGATCAGATTTGTAGGCTTGGTGCTGCTAAGAAAATTCAAAAACATCCAGAATTTTTACACTTGAATGGCAGTGATGGAGGAGGTGATTCTACATATTGTTGTACTCCAGATGAGCAGCTTGACATAGATTTTGATGTACAATTAAAATCAAGTTCTGATATACCTTGTAATGGAGAAATTTTGGAGAATGAAGAATCTGAAGATACAAATGGCTGTGCATGTCATCTTAAATCTGTAATACCTATAAGGTTAGTGCATAGTCCGGGCATTGATAATAGGTATCAAAGACATGGTAGTGATAGCTCTGATTCACTGTCTGAAAGCTGTCCTGGTAGAATTGAAAGTGACAATGAATATTTTCCTCTTGGTTTTCAAACTGTAGGTGGTGGATCTGAAAATAATGTATCAAAAGAAGGTACATTGAATGATGAAAAATCTTACAAGAGAAAAAATGATAGTCTACTTGATTCTTCAGTGCCATCTGATCAAGTTACTAACACATGTGTAGAGGCCTTAGAATATAGTGGCAAGTACCAGAAAGCTTCTCTCCCACCCCCTTACGAACTTGGTGGAGGAAATCCTTTCATGTTGTTTTTGTGCCTAACTCTTTTACTTCAACATAGAGATATGATAATGAAAAGTCACATGGATTATGATGAACTAGCAATGCACTTTGACAAAATGGTTCGTAAACATAATGTACATCGTGTTCTGCATCAAGCTCGTGCAATGTTTAGAGAATATTTACAAATGAGCTGTCAAGAGCAAGATTCAGACCTTCATGTCTGACATTTAAACTCTTTCTGTAAGTAATATAATTGTTTTAAGAGTTTTGCTTTGCTCATGCTGTTTTACAAAATTAACATGCATACAGAATGAAATTGTCATTCTCAACATACAGATTGTGAGTATTTAAAATTTGGACACATATTCAAATTTTATGTGCAAGAAAAAATTTTAAATAAGTTTCAAGTCATTCGAGTAGCTAACGTAAATTAGTGAAATTATAGACAGTCCCGTGTCATCATGGCATAGAACAAACTAAGCCATTTATTTGGTAAAAAATTAAAATAATCTTATTGATCTTTTGTTTAAAATTCAAATATTTTTTCACCAAAAAAAAATGCATTGCAAATTTGAGGGTAAAAAACAAAAAAGTATAATTTCTGCTTAATTCTGTTGATTTGAATTTGAAACGCGTGTATACTTTTGTTTGAACTTTTGTTCAAATATAAAATTGTGAAATATGAATTCATGCTAAGTGTTCAAGTAATTGCACTATTTAAAATCAAAAGCTACTTATAAACATTAAAAATATGACTAAAGATGACATGCAAAAGTTTTAGTTTTATGAACAATGCAGAAAACATTTTTCATTGTTATATGGTAGCTTTTTCATATTTTGATCAAATATGCTTCCAGGTTTATTGCCTCAGAGCAAAGAGCTAGTATTTATATGCTTTTGATATTTTTAATTAAATATTCAATTTTATATTTGGTTTTGGTAAACAATGTGTTAATTGCTTGGTCATTAGTATGTTCCTAGCAGCATTCACTTTTACTTGAGAAGTGCACTAAGATTTTTGTCAGATAGATACCAAGACAGGTGTAGATAATGGATGAAGTAATTTATTCTTAAAAAAAATTATTATAAAATCTTTGTCCTAAAAGGGGGGAAATTATCACTTTGGACACAATTTAAAGTGATAATTTTAATTCTTACAAAAATAAAAATTATCGCTCTTTACAAAATAAAGTATTTCCATCTAACAAGTTAATACAGTGAGCAAAATAACATTGTCAATATTAGTATTATTGTAATAGGTTTATATTATTATAAAAATTATGTGTATCAGAAACAAATGGATGTGAGAGCATATACATATGTGAGAGTGAAAATAAATCATTGAAGAATTGCTGAAAATATAAAATAAATTTTTGTTTAACGAAATGAAGTTTGTTTTTGTTAAAAATTATGTTAGCATCTAAGTTGTGTGTTTGTTTGTGCCTTTTCAACTACTTCAAAACGTTTCCTATCCTCTCAAATCAAACAAAGAGGCATTTAATTACCATACAAGACAAGAACTTTAAGATGTTCACATCTCTATGTATATGACTGTAATTATAAGGCAGAAGTTTAATCAGTTCTTTGTCTAGTATAAACTTAACTTTATTTTTACCTGTAATATACTATAAAAGGGTAATACTATAAAAGACTATATGTGCTATGTCATATCAGGGACTCTAAAATTTCTTTTACTTATTCTTTTAATGAAAATTGTCTTAATCATACATTCCTTATGAGAATATTATATCATGATGTTCAAATATGGAGGAAGTTATAGAGAGTCTATTAGGCTTTTTAGCTCTACTCTTATATGCAGCCTAAGATGACCAAATGTGGCAATATGTGTTCTGCGCTGGTTTTTGGCACGATTCCATGTTGTGTGGCAACCCTTTTGACGTTGAATACTCTTTTGCTGGAGTGTTTTAATTGTTGGTTCGTGTCATGCGTGTTTTGAAATGGCCTATGTTGCAATGAGAGACAAGGTTGCAAGAGGGTCTGGGAGATTATTTGTAGTGGCTGGGCATGATAGAAGTAAGGAAATGCTGATGCAGTGTATTAAAGAGTGGATTGAGCCTTGTACAACTATTTTTTCGGATGGCTGGAAATCTTACAAGGATTTAGGAAAAAAGGTTTTGAACATGTATTTGTGAACCATAGTATGGATTTTCTGGATAGTGTGTCTGGCTGTCATATAAATATAATAGTGATTACGTGGCGGCATGAAATTGGTATTTCTGCTGTTCGAAAAAGCATTCATTCATGGTAAGTGCATTTTATTTTAATTCTTGTTCTTATTTTGTAGAACGTTATGTTCATTGTTTTTTAGTATGAATTTCTGTCGTTATTGTTTTTTTTTAATTGTTTGAAATTTATTTTAGTTTATTTTGTTGATTAGTGCATAGTGCCTAGATTGTGCAATTCATAGATGTTTTTTTAAGTTTAAACAGAATGCTGTGTACATGGTATTCTTTGGAATTTATTGTTGTTATGTTAATTTATTAAAGCGAGGTGTGCATAGTTCGTAGATTCGTTTGTTGCCTGGATTTTGCAATTCGTAGATGGTTTTTTTAAATTTAAACAGGATGCTGTGTACATGGTATTCTTTGAAATGTATTGTTATTATGTTAATTTATTAAAGCGAGTGTGCGTAGTTCATACATTCGTTTGTTGCCTAAATTGTGCAATTCGTAGATTTTTTTAAAGTTTAAACAGCATGCTGTGTACATGGTATTCTTTGAAATTTATTGCTGTTATGTTAATTTATTAAAGCGTGGCGTGCGTAGTTCATAGCCTAGATTGTGCCATTCGTAGATGTTTTTTTAAGTTAAACCATATCGCTGTGTACATGGCTTCTTGTCAAATATTTTTGGTTAGAAACTTTACATTTTTGCTATCTAAATTTTTTGTTTTTGTTTTGGATTTTTAGCTTAAATTGTGTGTTTAAAACGTGGTTTTTGCATATGCGAAAACTGCGTTTTTGGGAACATTTTAGGCGTAAAGTTCGAAATGTAGACAAAAAATTTAGATAGTAATATGACTCTGTGGATTGGCGAGAAATTTGGCGACTTGAGAGCACATATAAGAGTAGTTCCGGCTTTTCAAAGCAGGAAACAGAAGGAGTTCGCTTTGTCTTTGCCAGTATTCAAACTTTGAATCTTCTGATTGGTAACCGGATACCCTATCAGTTACATTATGAAATCACACAATGAGGAAAGTGAAAATTCCGTTTAAAGTTAAATACTGAATTCTTGCATATTACAAAATTTAATACAGTGCTGCGTACATTTATGCAAATAGTTGCAGTTTCTTTAAAAAGGTATGAATTACCAATAATTGCATTTTATAACAAAAGAAATATCTGTTTACTTAATTATTTAACAAAATGATAGTTATCATTTTAAGAATTGCTGTAGTTTGTACTGTGAGACTGAAATGAAATTTAGTTATTTTAAACCTGTGCATTCTGAAGTATTCTATATGCACTTTAATTTTTAGTAAGATTCTTATGAGATTAAAAATAAGAAAATTATAGTTTGATTCTGTTGTTTTTGTAGTGTGAAAAAAAAAACTTTAAATAACTTGCCTGTGTAAAAAAAGAAAAAAAAAAAAAAGATATTTTTCAATTTGGGGTAAACTTAAACACTTTCTTATTTTCACTTTCATATAACCTTGGGGAAAAGATGAATTTGTTTTGCAAGATTTCAAGCTGAACTGGTTATGGGATACAAAATGATACGATTAGATTATCAATTTTTCTAATGTCTTTTGAATTTCTGAAATGGTATGTGTGCAGTTAAGTCATGATCTGAAGGCTAATTTTCAGTAATACAAGATGTCGCACATGTTACTTACTTGTTTAAGAATCTTATAACATGTCAGATTTGTTATGATTTGGGGGGTGTTCCAGAACTTACATATATTAACAATAGGAAATTAATTTATGGTAAAATTTAATGCTGAACAAAAACTGAAAATTGGGAAATTTTATTAAACTAGACAAGCATTTGCACACAAAGAAGCATTACACCTAATTTGTGCAAATGGTTACCTTGTCAACACTACAGTAACAGAAAAATCATCAGTTGATTCAGCGTCAGCTCAAGTATAGAATCTGAGCAGAAAGTTGATGGCTGCACCCAGAATCATTAAACACTCTGAAAATTACCAGCAAAAGAGAACATTTGTATGTAAATGGCAGACATTTATGTCATGATATTTTCATTATTAAATAAAAATTTATATTCAGTGTTTGAAATTATTTTTATATATAAAACAGTTCATGAGTAATGAAAAAAGAATGTGTAAGTTACAAGATTTTCTTTAAATTACGTCAGTTTGAGGGTACACTGTAGGAAAGCTCAACAGTTAGTGAAAATAAACAAACTCCTCAACTTAGTATTAGTTGATTTTAAAAAACTATTATGGATAAATTTATCCTGTCACATCTTGCAGTTACATTTCAATATTGTTAAATATTTACAGTAGCAAAGCTTTAAACCTCAGAAGTGCAGTTACTCAACCAGAAACAACAGAAAATATGTAATTCAGTAACTACACATAAAATTATACCATTGGTGGATACATATTACAATAATATTTACATGCTACAAGTTCATCACTACCACTTAAATAGCTAGGCCAAATGAAGATGAAAGTTTGAAATCTTATTTCAGTTTGAAGTGAACAGTTTTTACACATAAGAAAGATAACGAAAATTAGTTCAAGTAGAACACAGGGTAACCGAAAATACCCCGAACGCGAAATGAAAATTGTAGATTACGGAAATCGCTCACAGAGCAGATTAAAACCATTCACCTGTAAGCTAAATAGCACATTATTTTTACATAGTAAAATGTAAAATGACACGCGGCTCCCGTGTTAGCATATTTATACCATTTACTTAGGTTGCAAGAAAGTTGTTGCCGGACTTTCTTGAAAAATCATGACTAAGGTCTCGAAAATGTGTTTTTTGGAAAATTAAGAATGTAACCAAGCCGGCAAGTAATCACCGATATGTTACCTAAACCCTTGAGCTGGCTTAAGTGTGTATCTCCAGCTCTCGTCAGCGCTCAAGTTGATAATTCGACCCCGAGTTAAAATCTCAACGAATCGAAGTTTATGTGTTTCCATGGTTTTTCCCTTTTGCAATGTGAATGTGAGTGAAATCCCTTTAAAAACTATCCATGAAGACATCCCTTACATTAGGCAAATAACCCTAGTGTGCTTTGCCATAATCTAATAATTCCAATCCAGTCTCTTTCAAGTTATTTTCAACTTGAGTCAATCGAATCGGAATTATATATGCAGTGGCGTAGCTAGGATGGGGCAAGAGGGGACATCTGACCCCGTGCGCCAAATTGATACTACGAAATTTTTTAATGAAATGTTTTCCATTCTTGGCACACAGAAAGGGGCGCAGATTCTTCAGTTGTCCCCGAGCGCTGGAAACTCTAGCTACGTCTCTGTATATATGCCTCAATATAAAACAAATTAAATACAGGGACACCTAAAGTGGCTGAAAACGTAAGATTTTCGAAAATATATAGTAAATATGCAGAAAATTAACTAAAAAATGCATTAAATAAATAAGCAAGTAAAAACGATAAGAAAATATGTGAAAATCATAATACATGTGCAAGTTTAAGCAAGGCCGCTTCCTGTGCGTTCCTTTACGTGTATGTAAGAATATAGCCAGTCCTTGCTAACTGTTAATTCTGCCCAAAATTTGGAAGAACAACCGAGGGCGGTCTGAGGATCTTCCACCTCTCTTCTGCCATCAACCTGTCGAGAGGACTTCTGTCTCGCCGTGTGTTTTGAGCGCCCCTTGCTGCACAGGCACTACATGCTTACAAACATCTATGCCTTTTCTAAGCCCACCAGCACGGCAGTCAGTGTGACTAACTACTATACTGGCTGGGCAAATTACAAATACTTGTGTGGAGTACAGCGTTCTCACTCCTCAAAGATCACATATTGGCGATGCAGTCCCCAAAATCTTACACAATTAATAAGTCACGGTAAAGAGCAGGTCTATTACAGTGCATTTACATTAGATATGCAAGAAGAAATTATTTCTTTACGAACTACAACGTCGTCGAATATATCACTCGGAAGGGCACCTTCAGGAATAGCATAGCTTGGGGGTTTTGCAATTACGCTTGGTTTCTGGCTTTGAATGCCTAGTCCGTTGATTTGGTATTCATTTCATTGTTGTACTGATCTTTGGCGAATCAATAAACATCTTGTAAATGCGTCTATGTTTTCTAAATGCCATTCAGCGGAGAAGGTGTATGCAGCATTCGTCCGAAGAGCAGGTCACATGGCCAGGGTCAAAAATCATTTGTCATGCAGAAAGTCCAGTGCTGTCATGAACTGCATGTCAT